TAATACCTACATGTGTGTATGGCACATTAGCTGGTCCAAAATTGGATATGTATCGTCAGAATTCCTATTTTCCACTGTCTTCAATATTTTCTTATATCCTATTCAATAAAAGCGTATGCCGAATATATATATATATATATATATATATATATATATATATATATACACGTGCACACGACATACTACATAAGTTTGCGGTTGAGAATATATTTCTTATGAAGTCCGTGCCCATCTCTGTCAGATACCATTTATCGTACAACGAGTTTTTTCAAAAGGTATCGTTTTGAAAAGATGCGTTTTGAAACAACGAATTGCTAGATCGATGGTACCATGACAGGCGCGAGTGTAGTAGACGCCGTAAAAACTCACCATTTTTGCATCGAATGCATATTCTCATGATCAGAGTGGCGCATTAATTAATACATAACACAAACGTCATATGTGACGTCATCCGACCTACTGCTTAATATCCATTCCTATCCATACCTAGTGTGATCTGTATATTATTAAGCCCATGATGATGATAATGCAAACTAGACAATAGCAAGGAACATTTATTAACACTCTAAAACCATAAGGTTTCGGCACATTCGAAGGTAAATTCGACCGAAGCGCGAGTACAATCAGGAAAAGCCCATCATAAATCGACCTTAGGTCATCCCCATTGGAGTAGACTGAACATTGATATTGTTTGAACAAAATTTGTTGTTTCTAAGCATTTATCAATGGAAACAGAACTGCAAAAAAACTTTATATAGTCTTTATTTATACCATCTAAGTTGAAGTTGAAGGAGGAGGAGGAGGGAGTGTCATGGTGTGGGGCGGCATCAGTCATAACCATCGAACAGAGCTCCATGTTTGTCGTGGAAGAGTTAATGCCCTTTACTACAGGAATAACATAATGGCAAATCACGTCATCCCATTCTTTCATCAGCACCAGGATATGCACATCTTCCTGGCATGGATCCTTCACTACTGGTTCTGTTCGTTTGAGGGCACACGGGTGGCCCAATCGTCTAAGGCGCCGCGATTCGCTGTGCAGAGTTGCGTCCCTTGGGCACGCCAGGAATGCTGCACTCAGTAATATTACAGTTATATGACGGGGTTCTGTAAATAACCGAGTGATTGACATAATGGACATCAATCATAAAATGGTATACGATGACATGTACAACAGGACCACCATATCCTTTAGTCGCCCCTAACGACAATCATTGGTTGCTGGAGACAAAGTTTAACCTAGACCTTCACGGGTTGTATGCAAGGGGTAATTTTAATGACACAACTCCTTCAAAACGTATTGATGTTAGACCATACACTTCCGTTTTGATACATGAAAATGTTGTTGAAAGTGTCATCTTGAACACTTTTCTTCAAGCTGTATTGTTCTGAACAAATAATGCAGATATTTCTGACGATCACGAGCACGATCTGATAAATGAAATAAAAAAGATATAGCACCAAACCAAATTAGGGACAATTTTACTGGCATGCTAAAAACATCAATCAGACTCAATGTATCAATAATCACCTACCAATCTCCACCTGTGAGTCAAACCATCTTCACAACTTCATCTCTGCACCAGTGCAATCTACATCCATCAAACTACACCGTTCCATCCCTACCTATCAAACTCCCCCAATCATTTCCCATCAATCCATCTCCATATATCAGTCTCCATCTCTCGATCTCAGTCTGTTAGAATAAATATAAAACATGCACATGTTGTACTGAAAGCGATATTCGCCTAGTACCCGATGCATACTCCGATGTATCTAGCCGCTCACACTCAGTCGACCCGTATCCAGATTGCAGCCACCTTATCAAAAGTCAGTAATGAGTTATACTCAAGCAAAATATATATTTATTGAAAGAGCTCTTTGCAATTATTGTAATTTTTAGAAGAAATATTTCTCATTGATTTATATTCACTATATAATTATGAGGACTTATGCAACTATTTTCGTTAGTTAGTAATCACGGTAGTTTCTTTTCTAGTCACGTGATTCTATTTCAAGTCGCGAGAACTATTGTGTGGTACAGAGAACGGATCGGGAGCAGCATGTACATAAGGTGATTGTTTTATCCCGTTCAGTTGTGACACACTCATATAAAGTGATATTGGTATTTGTGTAGTGGGACATCCCTTTGTTTTCTTAAAATTATTACATTTGTTATCAAGATGATTAAGACCGCATCCGTGGTCTAGCGGTAGAGCCTCTGCCCGGAGAGCGGAAGGTCCGGGTTTGATCCCCGGCCGCGTTATACCAACAGACGTTAAAAGCTGGTACTTGTTGTTACCCTGTCTGGCGCTCGGCATTAAGGGGCTAAAACAAGGACTGGTCGGCTCGGAGTCAGTATATTGTGTCTGAGTGGGGTATTCATGTTAAACTGCAGCATGATATCTCAGTGTGCTGTCACTATAAAATTGGCATTAGTCCGGACTAGTACAAGCAGCCACACACACACACACACACACACACACAAGCACGCACGCACGCACGCACGCACGCACGCACGCACGCACGCACGCACGCACGCACGCACGCACGCACGCACACACGCACGCACAACACACACGTACGTGCAATAATCTTGGACTCGACGTTAAGCTTCATATCAACTCACCGCCTCACAAACAAGATGATTTGCGAAAACGTAATTCTGTGAGACGTTACGTCCAATCTATGGCCGTTAAATAGCTAGGATATTGCTGATTGTGGCGTTAAACAACAAACAAACAAACAAACGTCCAACCTCTGAGTATCGATAAATGGCTTCCTTATACAACTGCATGCATTAGATTACACACGAGTTTTATGTATTCAGCATTAAGCAACTTCCGCATTATAGGAGGAAAACGCATGAGTTCTGAAACAGGCAAATCGTAATCAGAGTGTTATCTTCAACACTTTTCCTCCTCCTGTGCATTTGTGTACTGTTATATTTCCGACGATCACACCTCAGTATCTATAACACTGTTTAATATATGATGCCCATCAACCATCCTTGCGAAGTAGAGACGCAATTAATATGTGAGGTGAAATGGGATTTAACGTCATGTCCACGATTACTATTCACCTATATAGCGACGTGCATGTGTTAGGCTGCTTGTACAGTTTAGACTAATGCTGATTTTATAGTGCTAGCCCACTGGTATACCATGCTGCAGTGTAAGATGCATACCTGAGATTCTGAGCCGAGCAGTCCTTGTTGTAACCCCTTAATGCCGAGAGCCAGGCAGGGTGACATCCTATAACATCTGTTGGTATGACGTGGCCGGGGATCGAACCCCAGACCTTCCACTTTCCGGGCGGACGCTCTACCACTAGACCTCGGAGGCGGTTCAATTAATATGCAACACGACGAGTATCCCTTGTCAAAACTATTCCATTACGATTCAATCATCAAACACTTAGGGGTTCTCTATGTTTTGTTTTGTTTTGTTCACAATATTGCGTTTATGTTTACTTCACTAAACATATGAAACATCAACGCCAGAGTAACAAGTGTCATTTATCCGATGAAACGGCAAAAAGCAAAATATATGTTAAAAGTATCTAATTGAATCGCGGAAAACGAGTGATGACAACAGGTGTTCGTGTAAAGGGTAAGCATGCCCTGCTCTGCTGGTACCACCGCAACTCACACAATTTGATTTAAACAAGTATATGTGAGATGCCTGATACTACCCAGCAGCTACGGCGGCATGTAACCAAACACGACAAAACAAGACACGAAAGGTTCACGACAATCATCAACATATTTATTGTCTAATGATAGACTGAAAAAAAATCTGCGTTTATATCAAGCTAGTGTGACTCATTAATACATTTGTTCTGAAATAAATGATATATTTACTTGTAACATAAACTTCTTGTAATGCAGGACGCTAATGTAATGTAATATAATTATCGATTGACATCAAAACCTTGAAATGGAGAAAAAATAACGTATCGTATCGATCGATGGAGGTTTCTACATGTGCACCATTACCTCCTTAGATCACTAGTATACGTGAGTGGTATATCAATACATCAAACAATCTCCATTCATCATTCTTTATTAATTTATATCCATCGATCAGTCTCAAACAAGTGATCTGCCCCTATCAAAAAATAAAAGCGACGACACCCTTTCCCTATTCATGAGAATGAATCCGACCATATCATGAGCATGTGTGTGTGTGTGTGTGTGTGTGTGTGTGTGTGTTTGTGTGTGTGTGTTTGTGTGTGTGTTTGTTTGTGTGTGTCTGTGTGTTTGTGTGTTTGTGTGTGTGTGTGTGTGTGTGTGTGTGTGTGTGTGTGTGTGTGTGTGTGTGTGTGTGTGTGTGTGTGTGTGTGTGTGTGAATCACTATCAAATAGTTATGATACCAGGTATTCTCGAAAAGATCCGAGCGTATCCTGCCACATCGGTGGCACCCGTCACAAACACATGCAAAGGCAAATCAGTTGTTCACCTGCAAAAAAGACACGGTAACATTGTACAAGTCAAAATAGGTAATCACTGCGTATATCACGGTGTCACCATTGCGTCAAATTTTGAAATGTCCTCCGCCTGCTTACCATAAAACGTTTTGGAAAGCTTTACTGAGGCCTTGAATGTTGTAACCTTGATAATTGTCTGAGCAAGCGTCGTATAACACTCGCTGAAATCTTGATGGAAAGAGCATGCTCGGTTGTACCTCAAAAGTTGTGAAAAGTAAATATCAACGGTTGGAGCTTCTGGGATATTGAAGGAAAGTTAAATTGCCTATCGGAAAGTTGAAGCCATCCCTCTTGTCACACAGTCTTGTGGAGAGTGTGAGGCGAATTCGCTGGTTCAGGTAGGTAAATCAGTGGATGATCTATTTGATTGTTATTGATCGATAACAGATCATCTATATACTTGAAGATACCTTGCCTTTCTTTGCCAATCCGAGCAGGAATTCCGATTAATCTCATATAACAATCTCCATATATTCATCTTACCACCAATTCCAATCAATTTAATCTGTCAATCTTCAACTTCAAATTACCACCTATCAATCTCCATCTAATTTATCTCCAACTTTCAATTTTGATCTCGTAATCTCCATTCATCGCTTTTCAAATGTAAATCTCCGTCCATCAACCTCACTCCAAACATTTGGTCCGTAAATGCTGCTCCTGGAGTTTGCAAAAGAACATTGCAAAACTGGTCCAATCGGTATCAAGAAATAATATGTGAGCATCAAGCACGGCGCTATATACACTGTATATTACATGAAGCTTAGACTGTTTCACATAGTTAACCTATCTGAACATTGCGTACATCAATGGTCCTGAAATCTCCAAATTGTGAAATTATATTGTTTTTTTATTCGATGTGTTCAGTAGAATCAAATGTGGCGGTGATGTATTCATCTGTGTCTTTCAGGACACCTGTAATGACAAGTTATTCCACAGATTATATTAATGTAACATTAATTGCAAATATTTTAACTTTCCTTTCCTAACCCTTGACACGTTATTTAACTATTTTTTATTTTCAATTTTAAAATGACTGAGGTGAAAATACATATGTGACACAAGATTTTGAATGAAATGCATGTTACCACCTACAACATTATATGTGACAGTGGTGATATACATTACAAGTTACATTTCCAGTGTTTGTGCCTACCATGACAGACTGCTAGACATATAACATACACATGTTATATGTGTTCAAAAACATAATCAGCCCTACTGCTTTCAGATTTCTGTTAAATTGTCACATGATACAACGGACCCCAAGGGGATGTACAGTGACTGTATTCATTTAATTATTTGTTAAATAGACAAGCTGAGCTCTCCTACATACCGTCAGTGACGATACAGCCGGGTACTGGTTCCGTGTACGGGTTGGCTTCGGTAATCCCATCTGCACTGGTATATTCGTTCTTCACATCTGACCCATTGGCTTTGGTTATCCCATCTGTACTGGTATATTCATTCTGCACTTCTGACCCCGTGGCTTCGATGATCCCATCTGTACTGGTATATTCGTTCTTCACATCTAACCCAGTGGCTTCGGTGATCACATCTGTACTGGTATATTCGTTCTTCACATCTGACCCAGTGGCTTCGGTGATTCCATCTGCACTGGTATATTCGTTCTTCACATCTGACCCAGTGGCCGCGGTGATTCCATCTGCACTGGTATATTCGTTCTTCACATCTGACCCAGTGGCCGCGGTGATTCCATCTGCACTGGTATATTCGTTCTTCACATCTGACCAAGTGGCTTCGGTGATTCCATCTGCACTGGTATATTCGTTCTTCACATCTGACCCAGTGGCTTCCGTGATCCCATCTGTACTGGTATATTCGTTCTTCACATCCGACCCAGTGGCTTCGCTGATTCCATCTGTACTGGTATATTCGTTCTTCACCTCTGACCCAGTGGCTTCGCTGATTCCATCTGTACTGGTATATTCATTCCGCACATCCGACCTAGTGGCTTCGGTGATCCCATCTGTACTGGTATATTCATTCCGCACATCTGACCCAGTGGCCGCGGTGATTCCATCTGTACTGGTATATTCATTCCGCACATCCGACCCAGTGGCTTCGCTGATTCCATCTGTACTGGTATATTCATTCTGCACATCCGACCCAGTGGCTTCGCTGATTCCATCTGTACTTGTATATTCGTTCTTCACATCTGACCCAGTGGCCTCGGCGATTCCATCTGTACTGGAATATTCATTCTTCACATCTGACCCAGTGGCCTCGGTGATTCCATCTGTACTGGTATATTCGTTCTTCACATCTGACCCAGTGGCCGCGGCGATTCCATCTGTACTGGTATATTCATTCTTCACATCTGACCCAGTGGCCTCGGCGATTCCATCTGTACTGGAATATTCATTCTTCACATCTGACCCAGTGGCTTCGCTGATTCCATCTGTACTGGTATATTCGTTCTTCACATCTGACCCAGTGGTTTCGGCGATTCCATCTGTACTGGAATATTCGTTCTTCACATCCGACCCAGTGGCTTCGGTGATCACATCTGTACTGGTATATTCGTTCTTCACATCCGACCCAGTGGCTTCGGTGATCCCATCTGTACTGGTATATTCGTTCTTCACATCCGACCCAGTGGCTTCGGTGATCACATCTGTACTGGTATATTCGTTCTGCACTTCTGACCCAGTGGCTTCGGTTATCACATCTGTACTGGTATATTCGTTCTTCACATCTGACCGTGTGGTTTCGGTGACCATATCGATAGATGTATATCCGTTCTTCACATCTGACCCAGTGGCTTCGGTGATTCCATCTCTACTGGTATATTCTTTCTTCACATCTGACCCAGTATCTTCGTTGATCACATCTGTACTGGTATATTCGTTCTTCACATCCGACCCAGTGGCTTCGGTGATCCCATCTCTACTGGTATATTCTTTCTTCACATCTGACCCAGTATCTTCGTTGATCACATCTATACTGGTATATTCATTCTTCACATCTGACCCAGTATCTTCGTTGATCACATCTATACTGGTATATTCATTCTTCACATCTGACCCAGTGGCTTCGGTGATCACATCGATTGTGGTATATCCGTTCTTCACATCTGGCCATTGGATTTCGGCGACTATATCGATAGTCGTATATTCGTTCTTCACATCCGATCCAGTGGTTCCTGTGATCACATCTGTACTGGTATATTCGTTGTTCACAACTGACCCCCTGTTCTTGGGAATCAAACCTGAAGCACAAAATAACAATAGCACACCGTTGTCTCAAAGTCGTACGAGTGGTTACTGAAACGTTCTGAGCTATGTTGAATTGCCTTGATGCAGCGGCTTTTAGGAATGTTAATAAATTGCGCATACGTGATAAAGGAGACCCAAAAATGGTTCTTGTATCAACGTAACTCCATAAAAAGGAAGCACTCACTGCGAGAATTGCTGGAAATTAATCCGTTGTATTTAGCTACGCTGTCTCATGAGCATATGACTGGCTTTCATCAAACTCTTAAGCAAATATTATTCAGTGTCACTCAAGGGGGAAATCTGATTCTTTAGAAGAGAATGTCAAAAACACATCAATTGAAGTGTGATTATCTTAAAACATTAGGCACGTGGTATCGAGGCATGTAGAAGGAATAACGTGACTGCCTTTGAAACAAGATGCCATGTGTGTGTGTGTGTGTGTGTGTGTGTGTGCGCGTGTGCGTGCGTGCGTGTGTGTGCGTGCGTGCGTGCGTGCGTGTGTGTGTGTGTGTGTGTGTGTGTGTGTGTGTGTGTGTGTGTGTGTGTGTGTGTGTGTGTGTGTGTGTGTGTGTGTGTGTGTGTGTGTGTGTGTGTGTGTGTGTGTGTGTGTGTGTTTGGTTGAATGGCGCTTTCAATAGTATATAAGACATTGAGCCGAAGTGTCTTTAGTTAATAACATATCTTTTTTTAGGACAAATTATTCAACACAAAATCATAATCCTGTTGGTGAAGTTTGAATTGTTCTACATCTCATCCTTCACTACTCCTGATGATTCTACCATACCACTCTTTCTGCTGCATCTGCCCCTTGTAGGATAATGTTACTACCTGATACACTGCCTAGTTGTGCTGCCCTCTCTGTAGTTGTGTCACCTTCATCCACCTCAAGGCCAACATATCCAGCGTTGTCCACCATCACTGAAGGAAACAAGCATTTGCAATTAACACCAAGCATTTATCTCTAAGACTGTCTATAAGCTTGGGGCAAATGTATTGTTTATATGCTCGAAGCGTAATATGCTTAATGTGATGAAGCACGACATAAGTTATACAGGATGGACTTGCTTGGACTTGATATTGAACAATTACTCAAAAGTGAGCAGCCTGTGATTTTATGAAAACAAATCCAATAAATACCAATGTGGTTTCCAGTTTCTTCAGTTTTATTATGACCTTTCACTCTGCAATAAAGGAAAGATATAAATTAATATATATATATATAGTAATAATTAAATAAGTGGAGTAAGATTGAACACAGTTTTAATAGGCTAGCGCTTTCAACTCGTACCACGTACGAGTCTCATAAGGCCATAACTGAATAACGGACATGGAGTATATATATATATATATATATATATATATATATATATCTTCTATAACAAATATGTGTACTCACATCCCTGTGTCTTCATCTTTGCCCGCTGAAACAAATCATGAGATATGTCTTACTAAACATATACCAGTGAACGAACATACGCCAGTAAAGGTTACAATACTATGAAGCGTATGTATCTCTTCAGGGAAGGATAACCTTCATTATACGCAAGGAAGGGTACCGTATCTGAGGTATTGGCTCAACATAACTTTTCAAATATGTTTCAGACTTGAAGTAAACCTTCTATTAAACTACGTTATCTGATGTTCATGTAACTTGCTTTCTTCAAGCTCAAAAGCATAAACTGATACTGTTAAAAGAAGGTAATGAAAGGAAAATCATAGCGCTTCTTCAGTGCAATCCCAAAGTGTCACGTGAATCAGAGAATCACCTATTCATGAATCATTTATGGAGCAAATTTAACTTGTAGTTCAGCATGTCAAATACACACTAAGAAACATATAGTTATCTTAAAAGTGTATATCAATGCATGTAGAACAAACAACATGACTGCCTAAATCAAATTGGTTTTGAAGCAGAATGACGGGTGTCTGTCACTCCAAAATATCACAACTTTTGCAAACTTGGAATATAATGAATGAAAGTATTTGGCTAATGGTGCTTTACACAGTAATGCAAATATTAGACTGCAAATTTAGAGGATGTTGTGCTCAACCGCGTTTTAAGGACTATGTGAATACTATCGTGGTGTGTCAGTTTCTCTTGTGAGGAAAGCCCCAATACATGCAGATCTTAGACGTTAATTCCTTCCGAGACGCCAACAAGCACAGGCATGGTGTTGTCAAGGAAATACATATATTCGGTGCGAATTGTGGCATGCCTAATGGGCGGAAAATCTGCATAGTGAGCTGTTTCATCTTAGACTGGGACCCCCGTTTCGGATGCCATGTTGTTATTATCATTTCTGCAATACGTCATCAATTCATACACTTTCGAAGTATTCCACTTACCTGCAATATGTTTAAAACAGACAACAGCAACTACGACGAGGACCATTACGATGACTATACCTCCACTGGACCCAGCTATAGCGTAGACATTTGAGATACCAGAAGGTGATTTATCTGAAACATGCAGAAACTGAACATGAAGCAAACGTGCTACGTTATATAATCTTTTTTCAATATTTCAACTGACTGGCTAAATATATGACATATAAACTATTTAACGTCATTTAAGCATTGTTATGGAAAATGCTTGAGTCATTAATGAGGGTTATTCAAATATAAATTTGACAAACATGGACACCTGTTGAAGTAGAGCCATGGCGAGCAGCTGTGGTGACCAACGTGTTTTCAGGTGTGTGTCCATTCCAAGGTGTTGTAACTGAAAATACAACGTGCGATAATCTCCAGTGATATTCGTCAGTGATAATCTTTAGGCATCTGCTACGGTTACAACACCACGTTACGCTGTATTAGTACTGTGTCCAATATATTCAGTATCCAAATACTGATCAGTTTAGAATATAAACTAAATAATTATTAACTAGTGCAATCTATCTTCCACCGCAAAATAGAACCATATTAGAACATTGTGATGTCATCAGCTACAATGATGTCACAATCAAATGACATCACTGATCGCCGGGAAACTGAAGCTGGTTAGCTATGCTTTTCTACACCAAGGGCGCTGGTTATTACTGTTTACAAAGTGAAACAGTTGGAATAATAAGTTTAAATGATAAATGGAATATTTATTTTTGACATCAAATATACTCTTGAAAAGGTAATGGGTGCTCAAAAATATATGTCCTAACGTTAAGACATATAAGTTTATAGTAATTATATAATGATAATGAACGAATTGGAAACACATTACAACCGGTAGTAATGTATGGCGGTAGATGGTATGACTGCCAACGAACTTGAAGGGTAATAGGGGCAAGATTGGAAATTTCGAAGTTGATGTTTTTCGAACGGAAGTTCGTAGTTCAGCCAAGGTTTGTTAAACAGTCATTCTGCCACGACGAGGCATGCAGCGTATGGGTCTCCCCGTGCCGACTTGAGGGACTCTGCGCCACTCCTCTTGCAGCGTTCGTTCAGCCAACGTGGTCGGCGACCTATGACGTTGACACACACGTCTCCCAATCATGTCCCTGACATGTTCAATGGGGGAAAAAGTCAGGGCTCATTGCTTGCCATGGTATTCTATAGCTGTTGTGCTGCTGGAGGTGAGCATTGGCAATTCGTGCACAGCGATACTTATTAACAGTTATAGTTCATGATTCCCTACTTGTGTTAAGAGTATATTTCAACTGTCGTCGATCAACGTTAAGAACTCCTCGTAAAGCATCGGTGTATTAAACGTCGTGTGTCAAAAGACACTGTGTGTATACAATTTGACAAGACACGTGAATCTTCTTGTTATGCAGGGAACGGGGCTATTGCTGGAGAAAATTACCACCTTTTCATATCGCCAACATGACAGTGTTTCTAAGATTAATGTGTATTACTATGTCCGCTGTTGTTATCCGAGGGTCAGTTCGTCTAATTCATAGAAGGATAATTTATATCTTGGGCAGGGCTCCAACACACAAAGATTTACATTTTACTTAAGTGTAAAGTCACTCTGCTGTACATACCTGTTGTTGTAGGAATCAGGACTTCAACAGTCAGGTTGTTACTGTAGTAGACGTCCACGCCACATCTCCACACAGACCCGTCATCCAGACTAGAGTTGATCTGTAGCATCACCGTGTGTGTTTGTTCGTTAGTTTTCACACGAATACGTCCTGAGACCTCATCATATCCAGAAGTGTTTGTGGTATCTAGGAGGTCTCCTCTCAGAAGCGTTTGCAATATCTTCTCTGTGTTTCTATACCATCTTACAGCCAATAACGTTGCGACATCTTTGATTGTTCTGTTGCAGGAAAGTGTTAGCACGGCTCCCTCAGCTACGGGAATTTGATCTCCAGTCAGGTCAAGGTCAGTTGAGGTCACTTGGAGAAAAAAACGTTAATTAAATGAAGTGTCTCATTATTTAAAATCTACATATATGGTGTTGTGGTTACCATGGAGTTTTAAGGTGAAGTTATGCTAATATTAATAATATTAATAATACTATGAGGATATTAAATTATTGTGTGATGTAAAACATTGTGAACAGCTTCTCCGTTTCAAATATTTGTATATATATTCCATTAATATAGTAACAATTAATAATCTACCTTGTATTTGTAGCTAAATGAACGCAAGGCGTTCGTTCCATCACCCGTTCAGTATTCATTGTTAACACTATTCCATATCACATACAACAATACATTTTAATGAAATATTTTACAACCAACCTGACAGGATCAGCACATGGCACAAAGTAAACCATGTTGCCACGTTAAAACACACAGTCATGGTCTTGATTCTGTAGAATACTTCACTTCTTCCCATAACCATTGCCCTGTATTCTAAGTAAAAAAGTTATCCTTGTCCTGTCCTAAAAGGGAACATTAAAATCTTAGTGAGTGAGTGAGTATAGTTTTACGCCGCTTTTAGCAATATTCAAGCAATATCACGGCGGGGGACACCAGAAATGGGCTTCACACATTGTACCCATGTCGGGAATCGAACCCGGGTCTTCGGCGTGACGAGCAAACGCTTTAACCACTAAGCTACCCGACCGCCCCTGAAATCTTAGAAATGACGACTAGACATATCCATAGTATGCACAACACTATTGTCTTAGGGTATGAATAACACGAGCAGATCTCCATAATATGGGTAATGAAAAGCACATATATATTGCACAAGATATCCAGCTTACCTGAGTGCTCAGAGCACGGTGTGTGTTGATATCACGGAGATAAATTATGACAAAACACTAAAGTCATTGGCTGAGAAAAAGGAAGTACATTTCAATATTATCATTTACTTCCGAGGTAGATGAGTGCACTTGTGAACATCGCCGTTATATTCCCATCATGTAGGAATATATGAGTATACTGTTCAGTAACAATTAATCAGGGTTATGAAAGCCATGATTAAACCATGCTCACTCCCTCACCCACTTCTCAGGGTTAGGAAAAGTAAGTTCACGAATTAGTGTCTGCAGCGGGTTTGTCAGTTTCAGAGTGTGACGTATTGATAACATTGTACATATTTCTATGCAGCTGAACTCTCCTCGCTAATCTGTATGCTCGGTGAACACGTGATGTATCACCGTTAACAAGTCGACGCTTCCAGTCAGACGCCAATGGTCGAATTCGCTGATGATTTTCTGTAATCTTGTCCGGTGAGACCAAATTCACTCTGGACTTTTAGGAAAGGCGTTGACGTGTCTGGAAGCGTCCAAAGATACGTCATGCGAACGTCAACGTAAAGCCATGTGTCTGATGTCGGGTTGGGTCTGTAATGACCTTTACCCCATACAGAATGTTTCGGACATGATCAGGAGACGTATACGCCGACGGCAAAGGCCACCCGCTACGTTAGCCAACTGGGCAGCTGCTGCAAGAGGAGTGGACAAGAATCCCTCAAAATGGGAGATTGATTTGGACCATGCCACGCCGTTTATGTGTGACCGATCATGGAGGCATGTCTCATATTGATAATATCAAACGTTAAATTCTTGACTAAACGCCATGTTATCTTTCGTGGTTGTTAGTCTTGCTTGCCATTCGTGCCTTTGTCATCTAAAAATATTCTTCCAACGTTTTTATTTTGAGAACAGTAATAACCAGAGTTTTAAGAGTTTACAAAACAGTTTGCTTGATTCCGAGTCATATGCGATGATGATGTCATTTCAAAGTGACACCGTGATATCGCATGGCGTCACAATGGTCTGCAAAGCGTAATCATGCTATTTCACTGAAGCAATGTCGGTAACTAGAGTTATATTATTAACATCCTGTTTAACTAATAAAACACCAGCTGCCCCCGGCTCTATTCTACACAATAAATCATGTCAGTGATTAAAAACCTGAGTAAACAACTGAAGACATCCTGAGTGTTGTTACTGAGGTGATATAAGTTGTGGTCATCAAATGGACGAGCAACAGCAACAATATATATTATGTATCAACAAAGACGCAGGCAGACCGGGCGTCAATCCGATCGTTGAAATTGCTGTGTTTCAAAGACAGAGAACTTATTTTAACCCCAGTAACGGAATCCCCTCGGTTGCGGATTTTTCGTTTGCGCTATTTCTTTTAAAAAAAAATAATTTTGGGCAATCATTTGTGATTAAGTATGCCCTAAAATATTAAAATCTGCAAAGTTTCTATGTTGACTTCATCTGAAACTTTAAGTTGTTTATTTGATTTTGCTGGGTCGATTCAATCAAGAACATTTGTAAACAAAATGGTTACATTGTACCATTAGTCCAAACTTTGAATATCAATAAAAACTGTATTCTAAAACTGCATGCAACTGATCAACCACACCGTAAAACCTCTATCATATCCAGTTGGCTCCTACCAATTGTACATTCGAATCAAACTGACTATCACATCGAAAAGCCAGGTCATCTTGGTAATTTAACGTTATTCCCTCTGTCCAGTAATGATATGTTCATATGTATTAACTGAAGTTCCTGTGAATATTGTTCTCTATAATAATATTATGTCACTTCCTTATTATAGGAGGAAATCACATGAGTTCCGAAACACAACTATTGATGAGATTGTTATCTTAAACACTTTTCCTTCTTTTGCATGGTGTAGAAAGCGCTATTTCCGATGATTACATCACAGTATATATACTTGTATGTATACGAAATATGATACATATTACATCAACGAAAACTCAACCCAAAGGGAAATCAGTCCTGACGAATTGAAATGTTCATTACAACGGCACAAAATGAATGTGTGAAAAGGTGACACTATCTAAGGTGATACTATCACGTCAAAACAAATCCATTACATTTGATCAACACCAATCATTCGGGATTCTCTAAGGTTCACAATGATGTGACGGTGCCTCCCCTCTGAATGTATTCATTTCATATTCATGAAAGAGTGCTCTATTGTTTAGCTAACATTTAACACAGTGATTTTCAACAGTCGTCAATGTAGTATTGTTTAATGATAGGCTGTCGAACCCTGTTTCATACTTTTCACAGCATAAAATAGTTGTTCACTTGGGACATGAGATGCAGGGCAGAAAGTCTACTGAATTGTCTACTGACACACAAAAAACATTGAACAGGTCAAAAGTAAGATATCCTATCAAATGATGAGGGAATCTATAATCTATAGTTGCACCATCGCTTCACAAGACAACTGAGAATTTAACTGACGGCCAAAAGAACTTTGCCACTTACAAAAACGAAATTGCCAAAAAATAAAAACACCAGAAGAAAGTAAATCAATGCAAAACAAATTGTACAAACACAACAATCCTCTGTGATACACGTCCACGCCACGATTTGTTAATGCAGTTAAACTTGTCATATTAAACACTTCAGCGAAAATAGGAGTTGGTTGGTTGGTTTGTTGTTTAACGCCGCACTCAGCAATGTTCCAGCTATATGATGGCGGTCTGTAAATATTCGAGTCTGGACCAGACAATCCAGTGATTGACATCATGAGCATCGATCCACGCAATTGGGATCGATGACATGTATCAACCAAGTCAGCGAGCCTGATCACCCGATCCCGTTAGTCGCCTTTTACGACAAGCATAGTCACCTTTTACGGCAAGCATGGGTTGCGGAAGACCTATTCTACCCCGGAATCTTCACGGGTCGCAATAGGAGTAAAATCTCCCGTGCAAAAATGGAAAATAGTGTTTTCAATCCTTACAATCAACTTCCTTATTTTATTTATTGATTCCTTATATATTTTCTCTTTAAGGAGGTGTTGGGTGTTGGGTAGTTGGTCTTGCAGTGTATTAACAAAAGGCGAATATAAACTGAAGGCCAAAAGAAATTTTACCACATTAAAAACGAAATTGGATTAATTCAAATACACAAAGTCATAACAAATCAATGCAAAACACATCGTTCAATGATCAATGCAGAAAGTGACACATGTCAACGTCAAGATACATTTTATCAAAATGGGAGAAAGTGAATAAAAAGTGCCGCTCGGTTAGCCGAAAGTACATGTGAAATAAGGGAATATAAATGATACGGACAGCATGTCAGACAAGCATAATGATAACACAAATCACCACAGAAATGTCACGACTGAGACCCGATCACCACGAGCGGGCCCTTGGTATGATACAAATGGGTTGCCCTCGTCTTGTTGTAACTAACCTGATGCAATGTTACAGACAGACCGGGTATACATCTGACAGGCCAGGAAACAAGCAAATCCAGGGAAACTTCGTCCAATGAAGACCGGTATTTGCTTTCTTTGGATCTCTGGAATCGATTCCTGACAGTGACAGTGTCTCGAGATATATGGTTAGACGACAGACAATGGCCAGGCAACTGAGGGCTCAATCAACAGAGGACGGTTATTGACAGCGCAACATCGTCCAGAAGACGTCTTGGATGTCATGGATCGTCGCGTTCGACGGCGACCACATGATTCAGCCAACCGACAAAAACTGATCAAGGCCCTTCAAGAAGAATGGCGATGTATCCCACGTGATGTCATCAGACGACTGACTTTCTTTCCTGTGGGCCGGAGAGTTTTTGCGTGTCTTGTAGCAGGGGGTGTTCATATACGCTATTATTGTGACGTGTCATTGAACTTGATGTCGATGTGTGTACCGTTTGACCATTATTTTGATAGCTTGATTTGCTACCAAGCCACAATTCGGACAACTGTCATGCCAATATCGGATGCTGCATGACTTTCTCTTTCAATGTTGATTTCGTTGAGATTTTCAATCTTTTCAATACATTTTACTTCATGTAGCTATCGTTGCTGGTCTTATCATTCTGAAACTACCAATGCTCACCTATCATTCGGCTTTTATCGATAGAAATCAATCACTCTCCAAATACTCTTAATCTCTTCACTCTCCAAATCTCAACTGACAACCTTTTTCATCTGTCAATCTCCATTCACCAATCTGCATCCGTTAATAATAATCTAAATTTTTGATTCAGAGTTGACAATGATCCTGTACTACCGGTCACCGATAGGAAAGCACCAGTGATCTTAATGTTGTGGATCCATGAGAGTTGACATAGTTGAAATTCAATTTAATGTTCACGGCGCTATATAGTATGCTGTATGTTGAGTTAAGCTTGAACTTTTTCAGTTCAGTTAATCTTCCTGAACATTAAGTCAGTGTTCCTGTACACGTCTCGTTTTGAAATTATATTATTGGTTGTTTATTCGATGTGTTCGGTAGAATGAAATGTGGCGGTGATATATTCATCTGTATCTGTCAGACACCTGTAATGACAAGTTATGAAATGGAGTATCAAACACTATCCGAGGTACGACATATCCGAATATGATAAATAAATAAAGATTACGGAGGGACCACGTTTTTTCTTCGAGACAACCATAAGTTCGACACA